TGAGTAGTTCCTGCACCCGCATCACATGTTACTTGTACTTCATTTGCGGCAACATAGACAACACTTATAACAGAAGAATCATTCTCCTCCCTGTATGTGGGGGGGACGTTCAATGGGTATTTCGGGTAATGAGGCCAAGCTTGCTTACAGCATCTCATCTTCCGTCTTGAGACGTGGGCGACGTTGGGTTACGAACCTGCGTACCAATTTCCCGATTGAAATATCAACGATTCAAGTTCAAGACCAGTCTGCTTAAGAATTTTTTTGTGTCTTATGTTACAGTTGCTGAAAAGCATCGCCAAGCAAATAAGCAGAAGAAGCTCGAGCAGAAAAAGCAGAACCAGCCTTGCCCAATCTGTTTGGAAAACAAGAGGCGCAAGCTGGGCTCATACATTCGGCAGAAGTCACAGGAGAACTCAGAAGTGCTCATTGAGGAGGAGGAGGAGCATGCCAACCATAATGAATCCACTCATCAAACGGACTGCAAAGATGACAGTGGCAAGACAAAATCTAAGCTTGCAGACTCAACATAAAGACTGAAGCAAAAATAGAGTGGAGAGAGAAGATATAAGATTAAATTTTAGATTAGATTAACAAGTAAGGTATTCAAAAGGTTGAAACAAGTGACAAGATTTATAAAAATGCATTTGTTTAGATGCTTTAGAATTTTACTGATAAGTGGTTGAAAGAAATGATACTGCACACAGTGTCAGAATTATTTTTCAAAGAAGGGCCAACTTTTGTATTTAACGTCACTATTTTATACCTAGACTGAAAATTAGAAATACCAAGTAATTCATAATTGTACCATAAACCACAGTGTAGCATAAAATGAAAATTTTGCTAAGACAAAAGACATCTTATGCAATGTAAATTCTGTGGGGAAAATATGAGAACAAAACATAGATTGGCTATGTTAACAAAACCTTGGTAACAGAAGCAACAAGTCGAGCTGCAGCTGTACTGACCTCTATATTCTAAGACTGAAAGCAGCTTATCTTACTTCACCATTTTTTATTGTTAAAACATTAGGGGAAATATCTAATTTTGGATTAAGGGTTGAATAAAATACCAAACAAACAAAGAAACCTAATATTTGGCCATAACTTTGTTGGCTTTATCTGACAGTGTTCAGTAACTCTTTAAATAGCAAACAAATAAAAACAATTAAGAGACATTTAGTAACTTTGATCAGTCAGCTTCAAAGTAAAAGAAAAATTCTAGTCAAATCAAAACTACACGAAGTCAGTACAATGTCTCTTGGCCCAAGAATGGTGTTACATCACAGTTCCTAATAGAGTAGAAGAAATATGCCAATCTGAATTTTCAGAGATGTGCACTTCTCTAAAATTGGATATTTGGATTAAGGTAAATAATTGTAAGGTAAATATTATTCAATTAATAACCAATACTGAGGATGTGAAGAGTTTTCTCCCGTATGAGAATGTACAAAGTGCAAAATTTCAATATATAGTTAATAAAGATAATAACTAAGTACACACATCCACTTCATAATTCATCCCTTAATTTGTCTAATATGTGATGGCACACTAATTGGCGAGTGTTGAAAAATTGGTACATTTCGAATCAAGGAAAAAAATCAATTAAAAAAGGAGAAATGTTGCAACTGGCCATGATGCTTAGATTGGGTTTGGAAAAGTTTTTGCGCAGAAGTTTTTGGCAAGTTGTGCTACATTGAGTGTGGTGTACCCAACCCACTCTACAACACTAAATTGGTTGAATAGGGACAGCACTAAAGAACACCCAGAGCAACACCCAAATATGTTGTTCCTTAGCATCACTCACCCTCAAAAGCCAGGTGAGCACGGAATCTCGATAAGGTACAAATCCTCGACGCCGACCTCCAGCGTTTTCGGCAAGGGCAGCAATGACTTTGCCAAGCGTAAGCAGGGATCTATTAATACTGACCCCTTCCTGAAAGTACGAATGTGCTCATCAGAAGAAATTCCCTTTCAGGAATTGATTGTTTACAGAAGTATTGATGAGGAACCACTACTGAACTTACCCTTAGTCTGTCACCACTAGCACAAGTCTGAGAGACCCTCTCACTACCAGCCAAGTCAACAAGGTTGATTTTGCTACGACGACTCAGTTCAACATCACCCTACAACAATATTCAAAAATGAAAATTAGAATGGCTGTCACTATAAGTAACACATGGAAAAGAAGACAAAATTACTTACATGAGGGTGAGTTTGTGTCAAGATGACACTGAATATAGAATGAGACCGGGAACTTTTCTCATTCATACCAGTTGCTGCAGTAGCTCTCTGACTATTTCCAACAGCAAGCCATCCCTAACCATAAGTTCATAAAATTAGAAAAATTCTCTTCCAACTAATTGATTGATTGATTGGGCCGATGGTGGAGTCTAAACAATTTTAATCTGTCAAGCAACTACTGCTGAATTTTTACTTACCTGAATGTCGCTGTATGATTCCACACCATGAACTGACAGGTCAACAACATAGGGACCATCTTGTGGATGCTCACGAACTTTCAAAGGGGGTCGCCTACCATTTGGATCAGAAGCAGACATTCCAGCTGATGATCCGATAGTGGCTCCACCCAGTAAGTCATGAATTTTCTCATTGTAAATTTCAAAGTAGCTTATTTCTGCTGTAATTGTTACTCGGGAATTGTCTGAAGACAATATTCGCTCAAACACCTCATGACAAAATCTAGGAATAATACCAGCATCATAGCTCATAGTTCCATTCACACAATCGGTGTCATGGCCCATCATGCTGAAACAAACATACATGTTACTAAAAAGAGGGGGGGGGGGAGATGAAAAAGAAGGAAAATATACTCAGAATAGGTAAACTACCTGTAACTTTTGCCAGAGCCTGTTTGGCCATAGGCAAAGAGGCATGCATTATATCCTTGAAAAGCCTTGTCAATAAGAGGTTGTACCATTGAATTAAATATTGTTGCTTGGGATGCATAACTGGCTGAGAGTGGATCTGATGCAAAGCAATGGTCATAACTGAATCTGTGAGTAGTTCCTGCACCCGCATCACATGTTACTTGTACTTCATTTGCGGCAACATAGACAACACTTATAACAGAAGAATCATTCTCCTCCCTGTAAGAACGAAACAAAGAAACAAAATTAAATCCCTCAATCTGAACAGAAGCAAAAATAAAATATTCTCATACGTATAAAACATTTATTGTATTCTGCCTCTAGGCAGATAAACGCACTTTTGATTAAGGGGTCTTACTCTGACACCAACAGTAAGGCTAGATTCCTCACCAATCCCTGACACATCATTGCCAGGGCGTCTTCGGGGTGTAGGAGTATCGAGCCGTACACGGCTATAGCATTCAGGTGTTGCCAGTTGGGCTGGTGTTGGAATATGACCATTGGGAGTCAAAGGTGGAGGTAGCAAGCTAGCTTCACTACGATGTCTCTGAAGTGGTGTGGCAAGAGGAGTTGAAGCTCTTGAATTTAGGTGAGAAGAGTCAAGGACTCGGCGAGCAGTGCCTGTGCTACTTCTGGTCACCATATTTTGAGAACTGCTTCTTCTTTTAGGGGTACAAAAATGAGTGACAGGAGTTCTGTCAGATGACAATTTTCTGCTGCTGGAAAATTAAATTAAAGACGATTAATATTTATGAGCACAAAATAATATATGATTCAACAATAATTTCATGGAGTGTTGATTGCATAAAAGTGAACTTAAATACACACACATGCATGCACACACAAACTATTATTCTAGTGAGTTGCAAGCTACTCAAAGTAACAAAACTACAAAAAAGGACACTTATGACAGAAAATTCAACTAATATTGGGGATAAATTGGAGGCAGAAATAATGTATGTTTAGATTCAAATATTGTGTTTAATGATATAGAAAGGGAATTTATTGGTTGGTTGAGTATTAAAAAGATAGAAAAAGAAAATCTTATCAAAATGGCAACTCAAGCAATATTGGATACGAGTTTTTAGTAGCCTCTATTGCACATCATATACCATTAACCTAAGCCCTAATCTGAATTGAAATTCCATAAAATTTGCAAACCTTCCAAGTTTTGAGTTGCTTCTTCGTGACTCTTCCACTTCTGATGGTGGTAATGAATGAATAGACTGTGAGCGAAAGAGGGAGCTAATATTTGGCGCCCTTCGTTGTTGAGGAGTAGGACTTTCACCTGGTAAAGGTAATCCACCAGGACAAGAGGTAATTCGTTCAGGCATGATTGGAGAAAAATATCTGCATTGGAATGTATAAAGAAGAAAATTAAAAGAATATTACACAAAGCAAGAGAGGAAGAGTGGCGCTATTACGAAGCATTGTTCTACTTCCTACAACACTAAATAATAGAAACTAATAATTAAATTAAAATTTAATTTGACCAAATGTACAATGATGACCTACGTCAAGAAAAGGGCACTACATTGACAGCTGTACAGAGTAAAAGGTATCCTTCACAAAACAAACGGTAAAACAACAGAATCTTATCAGGCACAACTCATACAAGGATGAATCTAGGAGTCAAACTAGGCACACATGTGCTATACAAATAACAACAGCAGAATAAAAGAAAAAAATTGCTTAGATACAAAAACGTGATCTTACAAGTGAAAGTACACAAACCCACCCAAAAATTAGCGCGTTGCAAAAGTAAGCAACAAACCAAGAACTTCGGAAAACGGATATTATTAAGCATATTTTGGTTGTTTCACATAACTGAATGTGATACTATTTTCCAGGTGAGGAATGAATAAGGGTAAAAATGGGGTTATCAACGTGCAGCAGACCTCCGACACGTTTTGTCACAAAAGTGCAACAACAAACATCGTGATAGACACATGCAAAATGATATCTTACCACAAGATAGGCATAAATAATTAGGTCACCGAATTATTTAAGCTTTTGACAAGGTCGAAGACAGCAATTCTATTGTGATTTGTTGTTCCAAACTGCCTGCAACATCTTCTGACCGAACTGCACGCACCGGCTTTTTCATGCCAATTTTCAAATTTGTTTGTTATGCGAAGGTATGCACTTCTACCAACAACTCCAAACTTTCGTGTCTATTTTGGCCCGTCACAAAATGAATGACTTTTAATTTTAAAAAATAACACTGAGTTTACTCTTAAAATGTGATTTAGGATCACAACCCTTAATGTAAAAAAAAGCAAAAGCATTGAAAATAGAGTGAGAATCTTTTCAAGTTTTTTTTCGTTCTGTTTTGTTGGTACTTATCTCAGATTTCAAACAAACAGAATTAGTCTCCTGCTAGAAGAACTGTTCTTGGGTTAATTCAGAAAATGAACAGTTACGATATCGTTTCCTTCGTCTTACTTTTCGAACCGATACTCTATATTTAGTGCGAGCCATGGCAAGTGCTAATGTATGTTGCGTTAGAGGTTGTCGGTCAGGTTGTGATGAGACTAGCACCAGTATTACCTTTCACAGGTGAGGTCATTGTTTTGTTTGTGTTTCTCTTGTACCAATTAAAAAAATGTATATCTAAAATTCTATTGTAAAAACAAAAATTATTCATTACATATTCATGTGATAAAATAAATCTATAAATCTTAACCAGGAAAATATATATGTCGTCTGCTACAGTAAGTTTTCCATTGTCGCTATAGTTTTTGTCAATGTTCTTTTGCTTTAGTTTTCCTACCAATACGGATCTGAAGTCTTTGTGGACAGTGGCCTTAAATGAAGCCATAAGTGATGATTTGTGGGAGCCATGTGATGACGATCTAATATGCTCACTTCACTTTAAGAGAGATGATTTTGCCCTGAATGATGCCGGCGGATCTGTGGAACTCATTGAGGAAGCTGTTCCTTCGCTTCTATTGGGTCAAAGTCATGAGGTAACCCATGTTAATTACATAATTTAATTATAATATTGTATGTTCTATGTTCAAACCGTATCTAATAATTTTCTGTCATTTGATTTCACTTAAGTTAATGGAAATAGAAGAAATTGTCACTACAAGCGACAACAATATTCCTTGTGACAATAATATTGAGCCTACAGAAAATGAGGACGACGATGACGACGATGAAAAGGATGACAAAACTCCTCACGCCAATTCAAAATATGGTTACTTACTGGAGCACATCACCGTGGACAAAAATGCACCACGAGAAGACCTATTGGCACAATTTAACAAAGCATACTTGGAAAGAGTGATCTTGAGAAAGAGAATGAGAATGTTAAGACAGAAAAATATAAGAGTTATTGAAAAAATTGGTAAAGCATGTGAAAAGTTGTCCCAGCAAGAAAAAGCTAAAGAATTGGGGACAGATTCAGAAGTAAAGAAGAAAAAGAAACATGAAACAAACTCAAAACTTATTCCATCTAATTTAGATGAGGTTGTCCGATATCTGGAAACTCAGGATCTTCTTTCTTCCAAAGCTATCAATGTATTAAGGTCGCTTCTTGGACATTCCCTTCACGAAAGTATTCAACATGATCCAAAAGCTACAGATTTGGAGCTAACACCTGTGATGAAAACTTTTGCTAAAACACTACTTTTCTACTCATCTGAGGCTTATCACATGGTTAAAGAATTGTATGAGCTACCTATACCTACCCCTTCCATTACTCGAACCTGGTATAACATGGGCCTAGGGTTACCAGGCTGGAGTAGTGAGGCTTTTCTGATGTTGAAAGATGAAATTCAGAAGTGTGAAAATACTGTTCTGAACACCTGTATTGTTGTAGGAGAATTTGATTTGTGTGCAGCCTCATCATTTGAAGACATTGAGGTGAGAGGACACATTGATTATGGCACTACCGGTGATCTAGAGGTGCAAAACTACTCAGAAAATCTGCCATTAGCTCAAAGCGCACTTTTCCTTATGCTTGTACCTCTTAATCCTGGAAGGAAATGGAGGATTCCATTAGCTTATTTTTTAATTGATACCTTATCACCTGAAGAGAGAGGAAATGTTATTTTGGAATGCCTGTGGAGGGTTTATAACATGGGCAGTGTAGCTGTAGCACTACTCTTGGATGCAAGTGTCAACAGTCGGCGAACTATTGAGAGTCTTGGAATTTCTTTTGAAGATTTACCATATCCCTCCACCTCATTTCCTCACCCAGCTGATGGACTCATGGATGTTTTTGTAATATTTGATTCTTTACACATTTTAGATTTGTTAAGGCACACATGGGCATCAGTCGTCCTCATGGTTGATGAAAAGGGTGGAGCCATCAGCTGGAAGTACTTCACAGAACTTGTGAAAGTCCAAGAAACTCAAGCAGGATCATCAGAACAGGCAGACCAAATAGCAACCTGGTACTGGGATAAAAGTTTAATGAGAAAAAAACTAGTATCGCAAGTGTTTACCAATGATGTTGCTAATGCAATTGAATGTTGTTCAACATCCTTGATGCTTCCGCAGTTTTCCGGATGTGAATCCACAGTATGCTTCATTAGAACAATAAACAAAATTGTAGACTTGCTTAATCCAACCAACTCTCCCAAGGTTACGTTCTTTGAATGGAAGAAGAGCATTGTGGAAGCTTTGAACTACTTATTTGTACTGAGAGATAGGACAGGTCAAGGTATATTTGCAACAAATTGTAAAGGCCCATTTGTCTGCCTGTATATGAACTTGCTTTCTATTCTAGAGCTCTTACCAAAAATAGGACGAAAAGCTATGACAGAATTTAATTTAAATGGGCTAGAACTGTTATTCATAGAAATACGCTCCAAGTTAAATTGGGAAGACTGCCCAACTCTCAGCAAGTTTTCGTATGCTTACTCTGTATTGCTTCAAGAAAAAGGAGTTGCCTTTACAGAAAATTTGGTCAAGGTTGACAGTTTTTGGTGGCTGGATTCTCAAGATGTGGCCAATGCTAGGAAAAGTGGTTTAACTATTTTAAAGCCAGTTATGAAACCAGAAAATACACCACCTTTGCCTTGTTACCTGACTTTTTATCCAGTTCTTCTTCAAAATGAGCTTCAGCGCTTTAGAGCTTCACAGCTTGTGCTAGTTCATACAGTGAAAAGAGTTGCAGATATTCTCAATTGTAATTCTTGCATTGAAGGTCTTCAAATGACTTATATTCAAGACAATCCTACATTGGTTTTACTACGAAAAACTTGTGGGGGTTTTGTTTACCCTTCTCAAGGTGTTGTAGAAGTCTGTGCTTTGGCAAATCACCACCTTAACACAGAAATCAGAACAGCTTCATTTGATATCAAACATGATGTTTTTAGCAGGCGTGAAAGTGCCCTAGTTCAAAATGTTTGCCTATCCGTGATGAGTACAATTGTTGACAGAAAAAGGAATCTATTTCCACAACTGAATGAGCATCAAAAATATTGTCCATTTGGTGCAGACCATACATATCGTCTCATCAAAGTATTAACAGCATCATTTGTGCTCTTGCGGCTGCAGTCCGTTCGAGCATGGGGTTCTCCACTCTGATGGGTGTGCCAGAGCAGTGGGGCCACAATCAAATGGAAGAAGGTTATCAAAGACAATTCAAGTCTCAGTTCATTAAATTCAAAATGTATTTAAAAAATGTACTTAAAAACTCAGACGAAATAACATTTTATAATTATACAAAGTTTTGTGTTATCCTTTACCCATTCAAGTAAAGAAATTGTAAACTTCTTAATTTCTAAGATCACATTTTGCACAAATCACAACCAATTATACAAGAGGTGGTGCCCTTACACTTCCACTTCAATCATTTTTTTTTCTGGCGTGTCACACGGGTGGTGGTTTGACTGGTTCCAACGGACGAATCAGTTTTTGTTGTTTTGGAGCTTCTAGCTTTAGAATTTTCTACAGTACTTAAGCTTGCTCCTGGTACAGCCCGCTTTGAACGTGCTGTTAAACCTTCAGTATTGCTGGATGAAGACAATTTGGTCTTTGACAATGCAGAAACATTCTTCTCAGCTATGCCATCTGCTTTGACTTTGGGTACCTCCAAAGATCTTGCTGCTTTACTGACAGCATTTACTTCCTTAGTTTGACTGGTTGTGATTTTGGCAGTAGTTTTCTTTTTTGGTACCAATACATTTTTCTTGGAAGGAACAGATGCATTTTCTTTAGAGGGTAGACATGCGACTGTTTCATCATCATTGAAAAGATCATCATCACTATCATTGAATAGAGCCCTGTTACCAAAAGGTGCTTTAGGGGTGAAAAACTGATGATTCGACACAGGTGATATACCTGTATTTGGAGTTAAAACAACTTTTAATGGCTTTCTTTTCTTCTCTTGCAAATTTGATGAAGAAATGTATGTATTACTGGGAGTTGTATCAACAATTATTCTTGGTGAGGTGGATTGATTCAAAATAATGCCAGATGAGTTGAGAGAACCTGAATCTAATAAAATAAATAAGAATAAGTCCACAATTTGCCTGTAAACAATTCATTTAAAAAAATTAAAAAATCTTTAAGAATACCTGTTGTTTTCTTCTCTTTCTCTTTCAAGATCTTGCATATACACAACTTTTGCTCAAGTACAGTAGATAACAGCTGCTTATCATCAGTTTTTAAATGTTGAACCAGGTCCAGAACCCTTTGATTTTTTACCTTTGCATCATGATCTTTTTCGTACATGACAAGCAAATCTACAAAATCAAGCCATAGTAGAACTTCAGAGCAAGCTATGTCATGTTGATGCAGTAGAGAACCTTCTAATAGTGGGTTCTGTGAGGCTCTTTTAAGAGCATTTTTAGCTGCTATGAACTGCAAGATTTACAATGTTTGAGATCTCATACAGAATATTTTTTTTAAAATTAATCTAAGAAAGGTACTTACTGCTGTTCTGTAGAATTGCATTGAATTATGGGCTTCCAAGTTAAACATATAGGTCTTTGCTTGCAGGTGAATGTACATGAGTAACACATTTTGTACAGAGCTGTTTTTACAAGAATAACACTTGCAAGACATTTTATGGTGAGTCATGGGACTCGTTTTCATCTGAAGGGATGGACTAGCTCCCAAAACATATCGGGTATCTTTTGGGGCAATTAGATCTTTAGTATCAATCATATCATCAGGATCATCATCCGAATTGACCTACAAATTTAATTACTGTTATGTAATCCAAACAAGAATTTGATTTAGTGGCAGATCAAAACATAAAAAATTAAAGACATACTTTCGTAGTACTGCTCTGAAGGCTATTCCCTATTATTCCTTCCAGGTCACCGATCTTTGATCTGGCTTCATCCACACTTTCAGTCACCAAGTCTACAAAAGCAAGCTCACTTATGAATTCGGCAGCCCTGTGAAGAAATTACAATTAAAACAAAATATAGAGCAAGATCATTTTGACCATGTTATTGTGACAATAGCAACCTTGTAGCGAGTCCTAACTTCAGAGCAAGCATTAATTCTGGTTTAAGGAAGCATCTAGCTTCTCTTGGCATTTGGTGTTGCCGATAATATCTTCCAATCCATAATGCAGATGAGAGCGCTTGATGAATGAGAGCTGCAAATACTAAAGGTGATTGGGACAGTCTTTTACCTTGAACATAGTGGATGGAAAGGCTCAGCCCCTGGCGGGCTGATCGGCAACCACTATCAAGTTCTGTTTTAGGAACGAGAGAATAAGCAGCTTGTACAAGCATAGAATAAGTATGACACCAAACGGAAGAGGATGATGGTTTTAAATCCATTACATCCTTCAATGCCTTCACACCCTCTTGGTAGGACTTAGTTCTAAGGGCCTGAAAAGCACGGCTCGTGCTATAGACCAATGACAGATATTGATACTTTGGGTGACTCTTCAAACGTTTCAAAACTTTGTCTGATTCAGCAATACTCTCAGGTTTTACTTCAATTGTACTCATTAGACCTGATAAAGCTATGGGAGAAGAGAGTATTAATATTTCCAAATGACATAAATAATAAAAATTAAAACGGGTGAAAAGAAGCAAACCTTGCAGCAGGAGATCATCAAGATGCATTTTCTGAGCAAACAAGCGACAGACTTGAAATGCTTTGGCTGCGGCAGCATTATGACCCCACAGAGAGGATAGATAAGCAGCTTGCAATAGGTAGTCTCCACTTAACCACACAACTTGATGAGTATTATGATCTTCAACACTCAGACCCTAGTTGAAGAGAGAATTTTTCCTTTTTCATTAAATTTACTTTTGAAATAGAAATTTTTTTTAAGAGAGAAATAGAAGGTGGAAAAGAAATTTTACTTACCGCCTCCATAGAATCATTCCAATAGTTCACAGCCGTCTCAAGGAGGTCAATCAACTCCTGCTCTCTGTGTAAGGTAAGGTTCGAGAAAGAGCTACGGATCTGACACACATCTTTTGGATCTATAACATCGTCAGGTTTTCTTACAGTTGCAGGGTTACGGGAGTAGATAGTTCGTTCCTCTACACTTGACTACAGATTCATGAAAAGATTGGGGAATCTGATTAGTACAGAAATAGGACACTAGAAGTAAACAGATAAGAAAATTTAAGTAGTTCCAATACCTCATTTTCATCAAAATGCAGCTGAGCCATAATAAGAAACTTCACATGATAGTGAACAGCCATAGCACACAATGCTATAGCTCTTTTAGATTCATCTTTGATCTGGAGAGTTAGAAGAAAAAAATAATGAATTATTCCTAGTGTTCTGAATCTTTAAGTGAGGTCTGATGGTATAATGAAAATTAAAACAAGACTCATAGCTCACTGTTCACTGAATCACTTACTTCACACAGCCAAGAGGAAAGGGAAGCTGAAATAACATCATGCCATGCGACTGTATCACTACAAGAAAATAGCGCCTGTCCAGCCAATGCTGACCCTTCAATCAAATGGAGGGGGGAGGGATTAGATGCTTTCAGAGCATGCCATGCATTTAATACGATACTAGAGTTGACCATTCTGAAAAGAATCAAAATAAGGAATGAAGGGTTAGTAAGGTTTGATTGCACAAAAAGTGGCATAGGTGATGGTGATAAACTTTTTGTTTTGCCATACTTATGTTTCACATAGCATGACAGTTCCCACACCAAGAGTTCAGGGATTAGCTTTAAATTCAAAACAAATGCTGGACACATTGTTTTCAGGAGAATTGGATGCCTCTTCAGAATTTGATCAGCTGTTTTTGCCTGAAAATTTAAGCATATAATCATTCGGTATCAAAAACATTCCACAACTCTAACGAAAACAAAAATATAGGATCACTCACATCTGTAGGATCTCCATTTTGTAGTCCAGACCACTGTTCTAGGTAAAAGAGACGTTGAGGTGTTCTGCTATTCAAATGCAGCAAAGTGTTGAGCAAAACAGCAGCTTTGGCTTCCTTCCTATGACCTTGCTTATCAGAACAAATTGATAGCCTTGATAAGACAGCATCCTTTGAAAGAGAGAATTTATACAGTTAACTTCTGATGTGCAATACCAACATATTCCCTCAATGAACAGATTTAATAATCATAAATTGAATACCAACCAATTTCATAAGTTCTGCACTACTGAGACTTTTCTCTGTGTAGTAAAAACTAAGGGATTTCAACAAATACAATCGTCCATGTTCCCAGTCCTCAGCACTATAACAAGCGCTTCCTAAAGAACAATAACTATCATCTGTAAAATAATTGGAACAAAAAAAAAGGGGGTAGAATGAATTTTCTTGATTCAAATAATTAATAATGCAAAACAAGAAACGTACACAGAGATCCTTCCAGTGAAGCACTTTTAACACATTTTCCATTAATAGCCTGTTTCAGAATAGATTCTAAACATTCAAAACTGTCCCCGATCAAAGGCATTAGTTCAGTCCATTTCTCCTTCTTCTCTTTCAGGAAATCCAAACAAAGTACAGTAAATGCCATTCGTGACTTAAATGCGAGACACACATCACTTTTCAGCGCACAAACTTCTCCCTGATCACCCGTACATATTGCATTACTGCAAGACAAAAGGAGCTGAAATCAAAATTTAGAAATCAAGTTACCTGAGGTCCAAAATCTTGATTGGACAAAAAAAAAAAATGACTAATGATAACAGTTTATTAACAACACAACAGGTAATTACCTCAGATAATAGTTTAGTAAAATTATTCAAGGCTGATAGCGAAGACAATGTGCAAAATGATTCCATAGCAGCATATTTTAAAACTGATTTGTCACAGACAATACAACCACAAATAAAGAGAACCCAGGAGAAAGCTGGCAAAATATTATGTTTCTTCTCTTCAAAAATTTTACAGAGGGACTGAATTTCATTTGTAAACAGTGCCTCATTTGTAGGAGTGCCAAGTTGGGAACGAAAAAGTCTTAAAATTCTTGCTATGAGCTCAAAGCATTCTACATGACCTGACTTAGCACTGAATATGGATGACAGCTTCAACCAACAAGATAGTGTATTTGACTCCATGTTAAATGATCCAGCTTTAATGTTCACTCGAAGGCATTGTTGTAAAATCAGAACAAGTGTACTAAAAACTTGATCAATGGATTCTCTACTCTCCAACTTGGGACACATAATAGTATATGAAACCAATTTATCCAGCAATACATTGTTGAAACTTTGACATTTCTCTACCTCCTTGAGCCCATGACACTTTTCGTATTTCATACTCATAATCTTTAAAACGGAGACAACATGAGCAAATGATTTGTCAGGGTTTAATAAGGAGCTAATAAGTAGCATACGATCCCACAGATCAAGTGGAGATATCGGAGCTTTAGGGTCTTCTTTGAAAACACTATCAGCGGCAGTAAGAATTAAATTATAAGTTTTTGTGACAAAGTTGTAAATGAATTTAAGATCTGATTCAAGCATTGAAGGAGACATTTTCTTCAGAATAGGATGAACTTCATCTAAAAATTTCATGGCGCACTCAATGTTTTTCTGCAAAGATAAAAAGTAAAGAACAATAAATCTTTATCTAATTACTCACAAACCAGAAATCACCTCACTTACATTTGCATAAAACCGAGAATAAATATTGAAAAATGCAATTATCGTGCGAGACTTTTTTGGAAGTTCTTCGTCATTTCTTGCATCAGCACTGATAGCTTTACAACATAGTAAAGCCAGTTCAAGTGCTTCATAATCATCAGTTAGGACGGGCTTCTTAGCTCCCGAAGTATCAATACACAAATTGCTAACACGCAGCAAAATTCTGTGGGCTAACTCAGATTGTCCTTTGCCAGTTAATGCGGCCTAGAAAACCAAGCAAGTACGATAAGTATAGGGCAATACAAATTCAAAAGACATAATCAAATTGGTTATGTTTACACGAGTTACCTTCACTTCAGATACAACATTTAAAATATCACCACTGTCTAATTTCCGTAAGAGTGCTATGTCAGCCATCTTTATGGTTTCTACGACATCAAGAAAATAAAATAACTGAAAAGAAACTAAAATAAATTAGTGTCCTAAAACATAGCAAAAGTTCGTTAGTGTTGTTGTCGTTGACTGCTTCTGCTGACATTTGAACCGCATAGTTCCCGCTTTCACCACACGACGCTGCTCTCACAAGGTGGTAACATAACAGCACAAAAAAAGAACAACCTCCAACAATTAGTGTCAAAATGTTGTACAGACTGCTGCTCCTCCCCCCTCCTCTCTGCACTTCCCCTCTGGCTTCCCGCCCCCGCCCTCGCCTGTGTTTCCGTGTGGACACTTTGAGGAGAAGCACCAAATACTCGGTGCTCGTATGATTGAAAAACACCAGTTTATGCTGTTTCACCAGTAAAGCTTAGTCGTGGTTAATTTTGATTGTCTGCAAGCATGTTTATGAAATAAACAAAACTTAGTCTCTATTTACACGCATCCATCGATCGTTGCCTCCTGCGAGGTGGTGGGGGGCTTGGTGAGGATGGGGGCAGTGCAGGGGCTCGGGGTCCATGCTCGGGGTCCCGGGTGAAAAGGGGGTGGTCTGAACGCCAAACCACCGCCCTCTGTCAGTCGTCAAATCGTAGGGAGTCATAAGCCCCACTGGAATCTCACTTATCTAACTTTGGCGTTTTTCCACACTTCGAGCAGTTTTCGCCAGTTTCTCTCTTTGAATCGTCGGCGTCAGAATGGTGTGAGGCAGCGCAGAATTTAAGTCGGGTAAGTTTCAATGTGTGTTCGAAAGGGGTGCTGCAACCCCCGCTGGAGCAGCAAGCCTGGAGTCTCCTGGACAGACCACTGTGTATGGCTACTGGGAAGCCTACCTAAGCTATCTATCTGCCTTTGCTTTACCCTATTGCATATGAGCATGAGATGAATTGTAGAACTTAACAAATCCAGAGGTCTATTCTAGGACATAGAAACCCAATAGGATGTAGGAATCTCGAAAAAAGTTATTTTTACTGATGTGAAGATTTTAAACATTACGTGAGATCTCAGATATTAGTTTAGCGTAAAGGAAGTGTTGTCCCACCTACAATTCTACAACATTTTATTTTTTTTATTTTTTAGGCGTTGTAGGCAACTATCTTTACGTTGCCGGCGCGAGACGAGACGAGGGGTGAAAGAGAGGGGTGGGAAAGGGGGGTGGGGTCGTCGTTGTTGTTGTTGCCGCTAGGTCAGCAGCGGCTGGTCAGGTAAAGTGAAGGGGTCACACTTTTAAAAAAAATGCTCGCACGACGCCTTACGCAACTTCTCTCATTCTACTCAGCAAGAACTTGAAAAGTCATCTGGAATGAGCATCAACCCCCCTCCCGGACCCCCGGTGGTGCAGATGAACGGCGGCAGCACGACGGGCACAGGTGTGCCGGGCGGGCCCCCGCCGCCCCCGCACATCCCCTCACCGCAGCAGCTCGCCCCGCCGCAGCAGGGCCCTGCGCCGCCCCCACTGGGGCCCGGCTCGGGGCCTGGCGCCCCCCAGGGTGTGGCCCC